CTGTACTATAATATACTACAAAAGCCGGACTACATGTAGCGTTAGGAAGATCATATGTAGATCAATCGCGCTGAAAGTCTCTCATGATGTAAGATATCGCAAAGGGTTAATTCGGCTCTGGATTAGGGGCCTGCTGGCTGGTCGTTCTCGTTTCCACGGCTGGGCCAGGTGTGGGAGTGATGACCAAGAGATTCCCAGATCGATAAGGGGATCGATCGTTGGACAATACCGGGACTGCGCCGATGAAATCGTAAACGGGCCTATCGCCGATCGTTATGCGATAGATGACCCGGATCGTTAAGGGCTTCTGTTTCCCGTGAGCGGTGAACACATGCGAGTTGCACGCGCGGCGATCGACTCGCGATTAAACTCGCACCGGTCGCGGCCTCGCGTAATTTTTGCCGCGCCATTTTGGATACCAATTTCATTGTGTCGTTGGTCCTCGATATCGCGATGCCACGCTAAAAAAGAAACATAATTGACGGTGTTACACGTGTTGCAATATGGTGCTTCGGGCGACTGCTTAGCACTTTGGCGACACACTTATACGAGCAGTGTTCGACGAGTTATGCACGCCGTATCGAAGATCTATATTGTATATTCGGGTTTTGTGGCTCAAGGGGAACAGTTTTGCTTTTTGGTAGCTTTTACTTTATTGTTTCGTTATTTTATTTTGAAGGATTTCTACTTGGGATGACTCTAAAATAAATATTGTGAAGCTTTGAGTTAGATCTAAAATGAGTAGTTTTATCTTTTAGTAGTTTTTGCTTTGTTCTTTTATCATTTTATTTTGGGGGATTTTGATTTGGGATGTTGAGAGAATCAGGTTCTTAATTCACAAATATTGTGAAACTTTGAGTTAGGTCTGAAATGAATAGTTTTATCTGTTGGTAGCTGTTGCTTTGTTCTTTCTTCAGAGCACCTGAATATTGTGTAGGAACGCAAGCACCAGTTGTTTCAGTAGCTATATAAAATTTGAAGTACAAGAACTAATTAGACTGGTAACTAGATTACAAATATTTATGCGTTCATGTCAAATACAAATTTGCATAAACATCCGCAGGCTGGTAATTGCATTGCTCGTAACACAGATTGAAGTGATCAGTCTTCACCTTTGTTTACATCAAACAGGTCTCCTTTTAGAGTCCTTATTGAGTTGACATTTTAGAGATATTCATACTGGACAGGTTCTGGAAGATAAACCTCAAAGGTAAAATAATTGAGCGAGCACAGAAATGTCTTAATCTATATTATTTGATGCATTCCTAACGGTTCGTAATTCTTTGAATCTTCATGTTCAGGATCTTCCCTCGCCAGGTGCGTGATGGATGATTTCTGGTCTCGCGACTCCATGAGTTTTCTCTAATTTATTCCAAACTGGATTAATTTAAAAATAGAGTTAATTGGATCACTATGGGTATTCTTGTAAATTGGCACATAGTTATAACGTTTCTGCTGTATTCTACACAATTAAGTTTGCTATCATCTAATCGGAATAGGTTTTCAAACAGCAAGGTGTTGAACGTCCTCTGCATTGTCAAAAGCACTTGAAAACGCATTAATCAGGTATCACCCTACCACAGTATACAGTATACGCAGTTTTTACAAGCGACGAAGCACGACAGGCTGATAATTGAATTCTAAAATTTCCTGTGCAACCCTGCAACCGTAACATTCACTTAATTGCATTCGACGATAGACGTGTTTTGCGATATCGCAACATCAGGTTAATAATTACCGTATCGTGAAATGCTCGGGGCGATCACTGCATTATACTTTTTCATTCATTTCGTTTACTTTCTTACATATATTTTTTCCCTTCGCATATACATGTAAATATTTATAAGAACATATTGTTGCATTAAAGTATTTTTTTGTTTACCGTTAGATTAATAAATACGATACTATCTGCATCTAAAGATTCAAATCTAATGTAAAACTTAAAATATTTCTACAAGGCTTTCCTTTTTCAAAACCGGAAGAAAATCATGTGAGATTAAAGTTTTTTAACAGAGTATGATTTTACTACCAAGATGCAACATTCTAATGCATTGTTAACATGCAATGCATATTTCTTCATTTTCTGGGTATTTTTATTGATGTTGATTTAAGTCTTTATCATGGAAAAGCGAATTTTAACGATAAGCGCAATTGATATTGCATTAGTGACACGTGCAGTTCAAATTTAGTCAAAATTCACAACTCTGGAGCATATTATCCTTTTCAATATTCTGTAAAATTGAAGGCTAAGGAAGTATAGAGTTCCGAAGCCACCAAATCTGAGTGAATTTGTCATTTAGTCAAATTGTTTAATTATTTAATATATTATCCTTGTAACTATTCTGTAAAATTGAAGCCTAAGGAAGTGCAGAGTTCTGAAGGAGTTCGGAATGCCTGATACCGTAGCCTCGAAATAATTAAATCAACGATTACATCCTTTCCGATAACGAATAAATTAAAAGCACGTATCCACCTAAAAATAAAAATCTCTGCTCAGCATGTAAACCCATGGAAATGTACCAGCTGACTTGGCCACCGTAAAGGAATACAGAGCACCACGTGTGCGATAACGATAACGTGTAATAAATCGGATAGCAGAATGGAGCGAAGGAACGCTCAGGTGGGCTAAGAAAAAAGGGACCATAGACGCGGAGAACACCGCGGGGTTCTGGTGCACAATTAACAGGCTCTCGATTGGCGGCTTGCTATTCGATAACCACAATCGTATTGGCGTTGTACGTTACAAGTTAACTTAGGAATTCCGATAACGCGCGGAACGGTATGCAGGCCGTATGCCAAATCGGTTGGTGTGTGCGCGTTGCTCGCCGTGTGACCCCTGGAATTTGTATTTTCTTTGGCCGTCGTTCAATGAACACCGCCGTGTGCTACCGCAATCGCCAGGCAGAACGGTTTCATCAGTTCCAGTTGCGAGCTTGGATACGCATGACCATCCTCGACGGAGTCGTTTATTATCGCGTTAATAGTCCCGCTCACGTGGCCCCTATGGATCACACACGAATTCCTTCCAAGTTTTCGCGTGTTTCGGATGCCCGACATTCCCGCGGGAACGAGTAGTTTCGCGTTGGTCTAATTCGCCAGCTGCTGGGAAAATTAAAAAACAACTTTTCAGTGTGTCCGCTGTCGATTGGGAAACTTGATTATTTGGAGGGAGAATTAGATGGCGGTGCTAATATATATTTTTCGGGTGATATGGTATCGTTACACTATACGATAATAACCACCAAATGCTCCGAATCAGCCGTTTCTAAACACATTTTCCTTCAGGTGATTCGTAATCGTGCACCTGTGAAGGCGCCTCGCGTTTAAAAAGCGACACGGACACGCACTTTCCCGCATAGGAGTGTTCGCGATACGTTCACGAACCGCTTCCCGCGGAGGACTTATTGCCATAAGCGTGCGCGTGTATCTAGGGCCACTTAAATCAGGCAGGTGCGTCGCGCATAATAAACGGCGAACGTCGCCGGCCGCAAAGTATTCTATATTTCATTGGTACGACGCGTACGGGACTGACGAACTTCGCGAACCGTGCCACGGGGAAAATTATGCTACCGCGCAGAAAAATGCGAGCGGAATGGCGAAGGGCTCGCGCGGAATTCGCTGTATTATTCATCAGATCCGAACGATTCCACGCGGAAGCGACTGTTTCCGTCGCAAGAAGCGACTCCACGCTTTTTAGCAGCTCGTGGCGGAGAAACGCGCAGAATCGGACCCGTTGTGTATTTGAGATTGAAAGAAGGGACTCAACATTCGTAAATTGAAAATACGAAGTCGCCAAAAAATTAAAAAGTATTAACTAAATATATCGACGAAATTCTTGAGATAACTTGGGGAGCAAGAAAGTACCTGGAAAGTCATGATTAGCTGTTCAACAGCTTTCTTCGGTCTATGTAGAAAAGATTCTACGTGCTTGATACTAGTGGCATTTAGGTTAGTTATTAACATGGTCTACGATGATTTTCATTCATCAACTGTCTTATTATTCCTTATGATCCTCAAGTGCGAGATTACACTACTACATATTAGGGTGTACCAAAAATTCGTGTGTTTTCTACGTTGTTTCAGTTTGTGCAGTTTTTTCAAGTCATTAAAATTACCTTATATGCAAGTGTTTACACCATTTTGTATTTTTGTGAAAAGTTCTTTTATATGTAATTATTAGCTACACTAATTTATTGACCGTCTAATTTTTTTTCGTTTTAGTACAATCATGGAATATTTTGAGATTCAAGTAGTGACGTAAAAATACTCGAATTTCAAAATAAACTCAAAATAAACAAAGAACGAAGGCTGTAAAATATGTTTGCCTCCCATAAAACAATTGTACACCTACGACACGTTAGCAAAATGAAAATTGGCTCCTGGACTAGGACAAGCTCGACACGTCTACTCCAACTAGCAGCTACTATGATACTCGTCAATTTGCTCTTCGTACGAGCAGCAAGCGAAACAACGGGACCTAATTGCCGCGAGTCACGATATCGCAACGTATACTCGAAGTCTGCCGAGTCTCATTTATAATGATAGAATTAAATCCATTACTAAATACACCTAACCAACGTGCGGAAAACAATATTGCACGCGCACCCGCGTGCAAACAGCGGAACTGCATGAAAGAGAGCCAGTTTGAGTTTTCGCGTTAACAGACTGGTCTAATTACGTACACGTATCTCGTTATCAGCGACTATGTTGCAAATGCGTTTTTAACTGCATATCGTTGTGCCTCGCAGACGCCACTCGTTACGTAGAGAACAGGCTTGTAAATTTTACTAATTAAGAATCGCGCGCTATCTGATGTTCCAATAGCACAAGACCGTATCATGCCTACTCTTCGTGAAGCCAACCGATTTATCTGTCTGTTGCTACAATTGCCGTCAGCGTGATTGACAAGATCAGAGGAAACGAGCGCGTGCGCGGGCCAGACTCGTTTCTTTGTCGGACAACCGTGATTTCGAGCATTCAATTTTCCAGGAAAACGCGTTTGTGACATCCAGTTGTCGGTAAACGATCGAGCTTGTTGTACGAAGCTCAGCGTTCGTTTTCTGCACGGTTCCCGCACCGTTGGGCAATTAGCAAGATAACGTGGCCGAAGCGAACGCAAATACGAAATAATTCCTGCAATTATGAGCACGACACGCCTAACGTAAACTTCAGAATGCTAAATCGTTAATGACACGTGATGGTTGGGAGTAATTGCGATCTACTCGTTACTTGTCTAGTTAAATCGCCAAACTTCGTCGAGTCGGTTACACGACAAGGTAAGCGCAGTTTTAGATGTTAAATACTCGACGACGCTCTATTTCCTTGATATATTTATTTGATACACTGGGTATCAAAAGTAACACTTTTATTTTTGAGGTTTCAGTACCTTAACCTCTTCACGCCCTTGGCCATATATGTGGACGTTTTGGTTTTATAATTTTAATTACTGTCAATAATGAAAAGAACAAAAATTTGAGAACAACAAAAGAAAATCGCCCCTGAAGAGATTAAGGTAGTTGTTCCATGGATTTATTTAATTAGGATTTCGACAAAACTTCACTTGATTGCCATTTGATTTGGCTTGATTTAAATTGATCACCCTAGTTTTAGGAAAAACGTAGAAAAATTTTGTAACTTCATCACAGCTTCTTATCGAACATACAAATTTTCACCGTGAATTTTTTCAATTTAAATCAAATTGCAATTTATGAAGTTGCTAAAAGTTTGACATGTTATAGAAAACAAAATTACTGAGATATAATTTATTCAAATTTGAAATTGAACGTAGAGAACAACCTAAACCTGTTACTTTGAAATTTAATCAAATTGATGGTTTAGTAAGTGTTGATATGGATACAATATAAAAATCGACTTTTAGCTATAATAACGTTAATTCTTTCAATATTGAAATGCAAACGGGTGTCCAGAGTTTTTTTTTTTGCATGTTGGATATCGCAGTATAATTGGTTTTTGTTGGAGGTAATTTTTCTTTATTTTTTAGGTCTAAATTAATCCTTCGTTACAAGTGCAGACATACCTCACACGGTCTTAGATCGTAGATGATTAAAAACGATTTGCTCTACGCATTCTTATGTCGTCCACCACGCGAAAGGATATTGCCCCGTTAAGGAATATATAAATAAACAATTAAACGCATCGGCAGGTAACGGAGTTTTATGGAACGAGGCAACGATAAGCGGCCGTGTCTGCGACCCAAGACAAAGAGTTTCCCATGCGAGCGGCAGGTTTTTCAGCCGGGTGGCCAGATAGACGCTTCCACTTCCTTCGGCTGACAATGGAAGGCTTTCAGCCACGAGTGTGCCGGATAATTCATGTCGGGATGAGCAATTAAGACCTAACCCACGCGCACCTTCGCTTCTAATTATCCTGCTTGACGTACTTACACCCGTGCGCTCGGGCATCGGCCATTATCAACGTGGATAACGAAAGGGAATCGCGACAGCGGCTGGCGAGATCCATACGATTGCATTTCATTTCTGGGCATCGGGTTTCACTCGGTGTCGCGCGTACGTTGTCGTAGGAGATTTCATTACCTGTTAACTGCTTCACTGAAAGCTGGGAGGGAGTGATTTTCCCGCGCTTGGCGTAACGGATCCGATAGCGCGCTGGAAGCATACCGGAATCGACCAAGTTGGGAAGAAGTCGAGGAAGTTTTACGTTGCGAGTGCAAGAGATCAGCAAAATTGGACATTATTAAAAGTATAACGTAGAAAGAGAATCATTTAACCATAAGATAATCATTAAATAATAAAGTGCTGTTTCTAATCATTCAGAACATTGAGGCGAATTGAAATACTACTTTAAAAGTACGTCTATATGAAAATCAACGCACGAAAATCAATGGACAATAACAAGTGAACGAAATTGATGAGCAGAAACAGAGGAAGGTGGAAGTTCAATTTAATGAAAATAATATATAATATGAATGAGAAATGAAACAGAGAAAATTAAAGAAAATTGATAAGATAATCAAACGAAAGTAATGTATGAAAGTACTGATCGAATACGAAGTGATGGAAAAATGAATTGATTGAGAGGAATGATTAGAATGAAAAGAACGAAAGGAATGACGAGATTTCATTACTTGTTAATTAGACCTCTGAAAAGGTAGAAGGGAATGATTTTCCCGCGTAACGTATCCGGTAACGCGCTAGACATACGAAAAGCTTATAAATCTTTGTTTAATAAATAACGGCGAAGCGATTCACGAGCCCCGCCTTCCTTTCATCCAGGCTAATCTACTTTTTTAGTTTCGAGGAGATCACGTTATCGGCCACTCGGTTTGTTAGTATAATATCCCTGATACGGTCTTGATTACACATAATAGCACATTATAGCATGCATTTTTCATTTTTACTTGATCGTTTGGCCGTGCCACGTGTATATATCGTTAATTTTAATTAACCAGCGTGCGGGGTACGTGGAGATCCAGAGGAGCGTAATACGATAGTAATTGTTTAACCCTTCGCACTCCACTGGCGCCACTATGGTGTCGTGCACAACACGTATCATAACTCCGGTCAAGCTAATCATAAACTGAATTTATGGAATAAATTGAGAAAATTTAAATTATCAGTAGCGATATCACAAAATTGCCTTAAAGATGCTAGTTAGTTATGCTAAACAAAATTTGGAATTTCCATAGAGTCACATACGTCAATGATAAAAGTTTTAGACGATTCTTCGTGAAAAAGTAAATTGAAAACTTGCAGTAAAGTTTCTGTATTGGAGGCTTTGTTCTCGAGGAAATTTATTTCATATCTACTTGGGGCACGTACGTGAATTCATACAATTGAGTCGAATGGTCTTGGCTAAGTCTATCAAGTGTACGTGTAATATGCAAAAATTGTGTTTGACAACAAGAAATACTATTTGCTTGTAAACTACTCTTGTACACATCGTTTACAACACACGTTATTTCAACTTTTTGATTCGGTTTTACATTCCCTACATTTTATATTCGCGATGGAACGCCATTAAATCACGATTACATGTGAATACATTAAATTAATACTCTCTGAATACTCGAAAATGCACAGAAGAGAAAGTTGTCGTTAAATTAAAAGAAAAACGATGATTATTTCGCAAAAGGACCAAAAGATACATAAAAAGCTTATTAGAGGGCGCGATCCGCCGAAAGAGGGATTTTTGTCGTCTAGCTCGAGCGTTAAAACGAATTTATAGCGCGCGAGAAAAAGAAATGGCGGACGTCCCCGCGCCGTCGTCTCTGGCGATTATAATACAAACATATCGAGGCACGATTGCGGTCTTAAACAGTCATAAAAGGCGGTTTGGAGAGCGAAAAAGCCGGGGGCCAAGTGACGAGAACCGGAATCACGCGCCAGTCGATCTTTTACGTATGCGATTCAGGTAGGCAGGCCCCGTGTTTTATTGTTATTTTATTAATCGATGCTGTCTGGTTATTGAGTAGGCAGTCGGTACATACACGCCCGCTCGTAGGTAGCGAATAAAACACCGCGTGCAATGCGTGATCAGTTGCCTACGTGTACGCCTTTTGTCAGCGCGTCAGGCAAAACCAGTAACCGGCGGTGACTCGAACGTACGTGAATAATCTATCTCCTCTCGGCCACGGGACAATCTCGGGTATCCGAACGTCGTTTAATCGAATATTCGATTACTCGAACGCTGTCTAACGCGTCGTCTGACGAGTCGGTTTTATAAACATCCCCCCTGGGGATCGCAACGCGTTTTCATAATTTACTTTGCTTCGAACCACGATACTCGTCTTGAGACCAGAGATTCTCAACGAGAATACTATCTCGTACTATCTGTTATTAACACGTTGGCTGCCAAGTTAAAACTCGTGAAAATTGTTACAAAGTTAAAATTATCTCTCGAAGCTATCAAAGATTAGATAATTTAATGTGTGTCGTAGTATAGAATTTTTTAACGTCTTGCATTTTCCGTTCATTTTTCACTAATTTTAAATTTATTTTCCTTTCGTTTCCCTTTACCTTTTACTGGTCTCATAATCTCTAACGAAGTTAAATTTAGAATGAAAATAATGAGAGGATTGATGAGAATGAAATTGATCAAATGAATGAAGTGAAAGCTAAATATCACTCATACAAACCAAGAGAAACTACAGAATCACCTAAACAAGTTAACACATATGAACGAAGCTCCCTGGAGCTTGGCGTAAGTTCTAATGAACGTGATCTCCTTCGAGTATCTTAAAAGACCACAAATTTTAGGAAAGACTATGTCAGAGGGTTTAAACTGAGTTTTTCGATAAGTTACTGCTAGAAAGGAACATTTCTTTTCATATTCTTCACTGAATTTTCCACAGAAATCTACCATCTCTCCTGTTATACGATCTCTCAGCGACTCAGGTTGTATTTAATTTCCTCGTTACGGTGAACCGCGATCGTTGCTAAATCCGCCTCTGTAATTCTTACCAGAACGATGATTAATTACCGCGAACTTACGCGACGCAGTGGTTTCGTTGGCCAGCGAACGACATTTTTATCATTCGAACCGTTTCCCTGTCGCAATTTACCTCGTCCGCTCGCCGGACACCGCGACCAAGGCAATAGCGGAAACATGAATTACCTGAAATCCATTTCACTTGTCTGCTTCGAGTTTCCTCTGTGAAAGGCCCGTTTCCCGTTTTACGAACATTATCGATCGCCCTGTGGTGAACGGGACGAAAAAAAAAACGTATCCGACCTTGCGAAAGAGCTGAAAGGATCAAAAGACGTTAGCATCGTTAAAGGGGTTACGCCATCTCGGAGGCGTAGCATAGTCGCGCTACTTAGCTAATTAATTGCAGCGAAGCTACATGCTCGAGAAACTTGAGCCTAGGGTACACGAATATGCATAGTTCGTGGAGTACAGAAATATTTTTATTTTGGTCGAATGTCGATTTTTAGTGAAATAGTAGCCCTGTTTGAGATAGTTTGAAGTGATGCTTTCTTATGAATGGTGGTTTGGGGGATATCTGTCCTGCGGTGGTCTGAATTTAGATTTCGAGGAACGATTATTACAGAAGATTTAAGATATTTATTTATGAGTATATTCTTTACGATTTAGTCTAAAGGTACCCAACTGACAGTAATTTAAATTTTGGTATGATTTACATTATACATGTGAGAAAAGATGTTTTATATCTTGAAATGTATGTTGGTGTTCGAAACAAACATGTCCGTCACATATGATCTAGATTTCAAATTTCCTCCAAGTATACTATTTTTCTCTGATCACTCTAGCTCGAAGATATCAAGAGAAAGGAAACCTTTCTAAGTATCACACGTTCAATCCGATTCTCCCATTACGAGAAACATGGAATATCCTCCGATTCGACTACCGTTTCCAAGCAATCGTACACGGCAAAAAGCGAGCGCAATCTTGAAACCTAAGAGGACAAAAACGTCGTGTATAGAGACGGTAAACTTGGCCAGAGGAGCCGATATAATGTTGCCAAATGGAGGATAATTTACGGCGGTTTGATGTACAGCGCCGCTTTATTGCGAATCTTTTTCTCCTGTTCCGCGATGCAATGTTCGCGTTGCCATTGTGTGTCATTCTCGGCGCTGAGAATGGATTATGTAAATACGCTTTGAAGGATTGTAGGCAGCGACCGGTCGATAAATCACCGTTAAATCATAAGCGTGTGCTCGCTATATGGAAATTCGCGAAGAAAACGAATTCCTCTTTTGTCTACTTACACGTCGAGGTGAATTTCAATGGACGGCATAATGAGAGCGATTCATCATAATTTTATGCGTGGATCTGAAACCCCCGCGCAGAGAGAAAGCCCTCATTGTTGGTATCGTGATATATCTCCGCGTCGATATCGCGTAACGAATTGGCCGATTGAAATCGATCAGTGAAAATTGCGGCTAATCGCGAATAATGAAATTTATTATGGATCGACGATCGGGCGATTGCGAGAACGCTTCGACCGTTTCGAGTCACGATGGTTGGTATAGGTTGCTTTTAGATTTGGCAGAAAAATTAGTTCTGACGGTGCTGCACGTTGGTACAATTATTCGCAAGAAATACGATTCTATAGAACTTCACTGTTTTTATTTTTTAAATGGATTTAATGAATAAGTTTAGTTGCCAATTGGAGTCAGAATAATAATATAAAATTGTATGAAATAGAAGTGAAATAGGTTGAAGGGATAAGGTTTAAGGTTGTTGTACGACATAACACACTTTTGTTGTTGTTGTTGTTGTTGTGTTGTTATGGTTGGTGATTCTAGCAACATTAAATATCATTCTTTTAGTTTGAAAATTAACAGGTATGCATGATTCATTTTTAGCAACGTATTTATATAAAAAGAAAGAAAAAATATATAAAAATAATAGCACAAAAAGAATACATTAATAAAAATGACAAAGATACTTTTGAAATAATATATAATACTATTTGTGACCCCAAAAAACTGATTATTAATCGAGAAAGGAGATTATTTAAAATAGACACATAATAATGCCAAGGCAAATTAATTTTTGAAACAATATTATAAGTATCTTTTATATTACTATATATATAATTGTGTACATATAACATGTGTATGTATATGTATAAATCATACACCATTTTCTAAAAAAATTAAACATGTAGCAAATAAAAGATACTTACAATACTGTCTTTATTTTACTACATATATAATTTTGTACGTGTATCCACCCTATACATATAAAACACGCATAATTTTCATATTGCTCCGAAAATTTACTTCTAATTACTATAAAACGAGCAAAAGAGGCCAACCCAAGAAGTAAAGATCCTATTTTTATTTTTATTATATCTTCACCTATCAGGCAAAATGTCCTCAAATAAATCATCCTTTTTGTACCACTTTCGAAACCATGAGAATCTTTATTTTTCCTCGTCGCATTAGCTCGTATCTCTACAACGATTTGCCCGTCAGTTCGCCGCGATTTCATCACGAATTTTTCGCAATAAAATCCCCGGGAAAGTCCTCTCTTAAAGTCAGCCACGAGTGTCCATTTGCAACTGTGAGCGGTGGTCGCGAATTGAATGCCGTTTTCCCCCGTCGCAATTACGGAAACGTCGACGTGGAAAAAAAATGATCTAGTGGCGCCGTTTGAAAAAGTACTGTTGCGCGCTTTAACTTAAAATGCGGCAATTACGCGGCGCTCGACAGTGACATAAACGCAAAACGGTATTGTTGGTGTCGATAAATCACCACTAGAATCGCGTACGAGGTACGAATT